TGGATGGATGGATGGATGGACAGACAGATGAAGGATGGGTGGATGGATGGATGGATGGATGGACAGACAGATGAAGGATGGGTGGATGGATGGATGGACAGACAGATGAAGGATGGGTAAGGATGGATGGATGGATGGACAGACAGACAGATGAAGGATGGGTGGATGGATGGATGGATGGACGGACAGATGAAGGATGGGTGGATGGATGGAAAGACAGATGAAGGATGAATGGATGGATGGATGGACAGATGAATGGATGGATGGACAGATGGATAGATGTTTGGATGGATGGATGATAGATGATGAACGAATGGTGGAGATGATAAATAGATAATTGATGGATGGGTGGATAGATGATAGATAAATGATAAATGGATGGCTGGGTGGATTAATGATAGGTAGATGATAAAGAAATGATGGATGGACAGATGGTTAGATGGATGGATGTATGGATGAATGAAGGGGTGGGTGGATAGATGATAGATGATGAATGGATGTATAGATAGATAGATAGACAGACCTTAATGATTTTTGAGAGTGTAGCATATTGAGTGATATATAGCAGTATATCTGTGTTAGAGATGGATAATGGGTGGAGAGATCTACTGATTCACTTCTGCTTCTTGGCTAAAGCCAGACTAATAATAGCAGTGAAACGAGACAATCATTTCCCTGTGAAACCATCACTGACACATATGAAAACAGCCTTTCCAGTCATTTTTATACATGAGCATCTCAGTTTATATTGTACTGCACGTTGCAGAGGTCTTGTGTGTTTACAACATTTCCTTTCGTGCCAGGGTTTGTTCCGTATCGCTGCCGGAGCCTCTAAACTGAAGAAGTTAAAGGCGGCACTGGACTGTTCCACTTCCCAACTGGAGGAGTTTTACTCTGACCCTCATGCTGTAGCCGGTACCAGACATTTTTCGTAAATGACACTGTAGAAGGACGCAGTTTGTTTGCAGCTAGTTACAGAGATTTTAGCATCTCTGCATTTAGAATAACTCCAAAAATTTTAAATGAGACTGGATTTGTTTGATTTTAAAACGTGTGGTTGTGACATTGAATACAAAACCGGAATTCTGGCACTGATCTATTTTGAAACCTGGAACTTTTCAGTTCTGTTCTCCAGATTGAAGAGTACCACAGCTATAGCCAAATATTTGAGTCTAAATCCACTTTGCATTTCATGTTAAAACAGAATTGAGGTTTTGCAAATCCATTTGATGTTGCTTTTGTTTTTCCATGATTATTTAGGAGCCCTGAAATCTTACCTGAGGGAGCTGCCTGAACCTCTGATGACCTACCAGCTGTATGAAGAGTGGATCCAAGCCTCAAAGTAAAGCATATTCACATTTAATACATCAAAGTCCATCACTTCAGTGCCTTTGTATTCAGAAGGTTTTTCAGTGAGTCTCATCAAATCTTGAACATTAGTTTGCATGACTAACTTAAGTATGAGCATAAAACCATATTAGCAAACAAACAATGAATTGCAAAGAGGTGAGAAGTGAGAAGCTTGAGAAGCACCACATGACTTAGTTTTGTAGAGCAACTAATATAGTAATTCTGTATCAGTCATAATTTATCGAAACCAACAACCAGTCATTTAAATGCTTTAATTCAAGATATACCACCATTCAAAAGTTTGCAGTTAATATTTTTGTGTAAACCACTATACATTTTTTCAGGACTCTGATTAATAGAAAGCTCAGAAGAGCTGTAACATTGTAAAAGTCTTTACTGTCACTTTTGAGCAGTTTTGCTAAATAATTTTATTAATTAAAACAAAAAAAGGATTGATAAAGATTTCACTAGGTTTAATGCAAGATACAAAATACAATTTTTATTCGCATAAAATTCTTGCTTTGTCATCAGATTTGATCCCAGCTGTGAATATTCCATTGTTTTGATTTCTACAACAAAATATGTGGCACAACTTCAGTATAAATTAGTACTGTCAAGCAATTAATCGCATACAATATAAAAGTATTTGTTTACATACAGTGGTGTGAAAAAGTGTTGGCCCCCTTCCTGATTTCTTATTTTTT